GTTCAGGGGTGCGTAGGAACCCCATGCTGCTTTCTAGCAGTGTCTGACTCTTCTTGGCCACCAGTTCCCAATGGTTATGGTGAGAGGCTCTGTCACTGTTGCTGCTGAAATATTACTTGTTATTTTGTGTTCATTTCTTCAGAGTTTAGGCGAGGCAGAGGTTGAAATACTACCCCCCAGATGTCCCTTATTTTTACACACAGTTTAGCTTGTTTGTGGGTGTGACATATCGGGGCCACTGGAATCTATGCCCTTCCCCCACAAAAGACCATGCGTGTTGTACTGTCACCTTCTCAGCTCCTCATAGACTGTCTCCCACATTACAGTCGCCTGGCAGTTCACTTTTGTACACGTGATAGCATTAATTCATTGTCGGATAACAACAGTAAATTCTTCATTCCTCATGGTATCTTAGGAGTGGAGAACTTGAACTAGTGAAGAACACAGTATTCCAAACTTTGTTAGTCACATGTGGAAACATTTTCTTTGGCTAAACCTTTTCCCCCAGACCTGTTAACAATTAGCGGAATTCATGAGTTGTACTTGCTTTCCCTACCTCCGGAGTAGATGAGCTAAACGTGTTGACAGGACATCTGAACGTAAGCAAATAGCAACAGCAACTGCAGATGAAATGAAGTCCTGCATGGGCTCCATTTACGGTGCGTCGATACTGCACCACATGGCGTTCGTGCACGTGGGCTTACCTTGGACGCTTCCTTACGATGATTTGCAGAAGCCTGAAGTGATTTCTTCCAGGACTTAACAGTTATAGAAACTTGATGTGTATGTATTTAATGTTTTGGTAAAAACTAAGATTACTCTTTTGCTTGAATCTGTTTTTTTAGCATGTATTTTTCAGCTTGAGAATGCAGCCCGTGACCTTGCCAGGCACACAGTAGGTGCTTAGTAGATAATGTGGTGGGTTCTCTGCCCCGGCAACGTGAAGGCCCGTGTTACTGCAGAAGGAAGTTGTAATAGTCATGATTCTTGTTACAGCCTTTATCACTAGAACTCATTTAAAATAATAAATCACTTTAATGCATTCTAGCAGAATATTTTTAGATTATTCTCCAAATTAATCTGCTCTTCTTTTTAAATCACTCACTTCCTGGCCTGCTTCCCATCTTTTCATTTCTCCTTTTCCTGATTATGTCTGACCTTTTCCTGCTTTTTCTCAAAATATATCTGTAATGACTTAATGTGCACTTAAACGTCACACAGGCTGTAGAAGGCTTGGTGCGAAATAGGAAGTCATCTCTTCATTATCACGACACTAGTTGAATGGTTGCTCGGCAGCTGCAGCCCCGTAGGTATTTCTGTGTAAACTACCATGCTAGGCCCCACGGGAGCTGCACAGGTGAGGAGCCGTCGTCCCTGCTGTCTGGGAGTACGTGCAGAAGGGGGAAGCAGGAGTGCGGACGAGGCTCTGCTCTGTGGACTCTCCCTCTTTCGGAAGCGAGGCACTACCGTGAGAGCACAGCCGCCAGGAACTGTAAGGGAGGCGGTGTCAGTCTGAGACGGCCCCTGGAGCAGGAGCGAAGGGCTCTGAGTTCTAGTCTCTCCCACCCCAGCTGAGAAACACTGAGCCAGTTCTCTTAGCCTCCTGCTGTCTCCAGCCTCCGCGTTTTCTGCCTCCATTGTGAATTCTAACTAACTCCACAGGTTTTGTTAGTACTGTGTAACACACGTGTCTGCTTTGCTTTCATAGAAGATATGTGTTCTGTGGTTTTTTAGTTACTGTCGAGTAACAAATAATGTTTTTTTTGGTTGCTATTAATGAATGTAGGAACTTAAGTAAATAACGCTATTAGTTTATAAAGTACATACCGTTTGCACGGTGACTTCAGGTGGCCTTAAGTAAATAAATAAGACAAACTGGCACAGTCAGTCTCTAAATAATTGTATTTAGAGTTCTCTGTTCATCGACACACGTACAGTACCAAACATTTAGAAATTTTAGGCTGTATATTCAAAGTTTCTATAGTAAACATTTGTGGTTTTTGTAATAAAGAGTTAAAAACCAACAACAGTCCTAAATACTACTCACCTTTGATATAGCCGTGGATCTGATTGGCTTTTCTTAGAGGCTGTTGAAAGAATCTAGAGGTGATCTTTTGATGTGTGACCTGGGAAGCAAAGAATGAACGGGTCTTCGGTTTTTGTCTCACAAGATTTTTATTCTTTGTCCTGTTAAAACAGCTTTAAGTCTCTAAGTGGTCTCTAGTCAGTGTTTAGACTATTAGTAAATTATCAGTCCAAATGCATCTAGCTGATTTGTCTTCCTGTTTCTAAGCTGGAAGTGAGAAGCTGCTAATTAACTAAATTTTAGCCTAGCATATCTGAACACTTCAGAAATACAATGTGTAATACATACGCTAATGCCCTTTGAAATAAACCTAATTTTCTGCAGATATTTTAGCTGTGTTGAATTAAAAGAAAACTCTATTCTAAGTTTATAAGTCATTCTGGTGTGTCGTATAATATTTTGATTTCACTTATAAATGCAGAGGCACTTTGTGGGACCTGGTGTGGAACATGACAGAATCAGATTCACGTAGTCCCTTTCTGAAGCCGTTTTCTGTTCAGAAAGAACCCAAATATACACGATCTGAAGCCCACGATGTTGACAAATAACAAAATGAAGCATTAGGAGATAATCAGGAGAAAGAAGCTGCCAGTGGATTGTTTGGAATTTTACTCATTGCCTTATAGAATCAGTAACACACTTAGATGCTTTTAAACATGAAGGGTTTTTTTGTTTTTGTTTTGTTTTGTTTTTAACTGGTCTTTTCCTATAGACATGGGCCCCTTTTGTCAAAACTAAATACACTCTTAGAAAAGTTGGGCAGGAGATACCCAGCTGGAGTATGGTCTAATGAAATTCAGTACTTTACCTATTGCATGGATGCTTAAAATACAGGTGTTTTTTTTTTGTTTTGTTTTGTTTTTTGTTTTTTGGTTGGTTGAATACTGGCTGATTTTCATTCCTATGTAATTTACTTGCATGGAGATTAAGATAGCTCTTTTTTATTAAATAAGCTTGAGAACAAGATGAATGCACTAGGTTCTTAGGTAGAATGTATTGGAGAGCTCCCTTTATAATGAGCATTTAAAAATCTGCCTTCTTAAAATCAGAAAATGCATTCTTTCCTGTATGGAAAGCAATGTAGTAGTGAAATATTCCTCCTTAATTTTGGTCCGAATGAACAAAAGTGTCTGTGTTTATTCCTACCTAATGCATCACAAATCTGCTGACATGCTAACCTTGGAGTCTTGGCTGGCGTTAATCAGGCCTGTGCACCGGCAGGAAAGATGTACCTAATGCACTCCATCAGTGCGGTTTGCATATGGAAGTTCTCACAGGGGAGCTGCCCTGTGCCAGCTGAGGGTTACCTGCCCACTGCAGTTATTGTATGTAATTATCGAACCAATCTGTTCAGCCCAGCAGGGTCTAGATGGTAATCATGAAGCAACACTTTGGAAAAGAAAGATGTAAGGCACTCTCCCCTTCTCTCATCAGTTATATGAAGTTACAGCCACTCTGAACAGCTATTCTTGAGAGGCAATACCTCCATATACAAATCTGCTAAATGAATGCCTTTGAAGTTTTCTTAAGGGTTAGTCAAGTTATTTTTGTCTGGGTGAAGCCTTTTCTTAAGGAGCATGGCGGGGATCTTGGAGCTCTGGTCTTTCTACGGCCACCTTAAGCATATTTTGAAACAGTGGGATTATTTGTAATATGTAGATAATAACAGTTTTGACCATTTGGGGGTTTTAAGATAATGCGGTTTGAGTAGAGTGGAGCTTTTCCACGCAGCTCTCTGTGGAACAGAATCCGCGGTTGCCATCAGGCAGGAGAGCGGTGTGCTGTCAGCAGGCAGTGTGCAGAATGGCCTGAAGCAAGGGAAATTCTCAGATGAAGTTCAACTTAATATTAATTGTTAGAAAATAGAAGCGAGGACTTTCTGGTGCATTGTGAACCTGAAATTTGGGACAGATGAGAGGATTTCCTAAATGAAATCTGGGCAACCCAGGGAAGCTTTGAGTTATCATTTGGATTTTAACACATTTAAATTTGAGACTACATGGGATAAAGCTATAATAGGAGAAATGCAAAGTTGTAAAGTTATTACTGAGTTCTTCCATAGTCATTCCTACATGTAGATGTGTTGAGTAATTTAAAAACTTCACACAGGACTGAATTAGAAAATGTCGTAGTGGTAGAAAATAATGAAAAGAAACTGAACGAACACTTGGGAAGGCTGGCTGGTGACAGACTATAAGCATTAACTCCTAAGTAACCCTTAACTAGAAAAATAAATAGAAAGTTGGAAACGCTTGAGGGGATGGTGGAAAACCCAACCTGTTTTTGAGATTTTAGGAGAGCTGTGTACTTTTAAGACTCTTCCTTTACAGGAAGGTGTCCCCCCTTAAACTTTTAATGAGAAGTATACCAAAAGAAGACATTTCTTGGAAGTTTGTCTTTATTGATTCATGAGTAGAATTTTACCACTGATTGATAGGGTATAACCAGTGATACACTATATGGACAAGGTGTATATTTTCCCATTATCAAGTGGATTACCGCACCTCCCCCCGCATACGCCACACACATTGTAAAATGGGGAGAGTAAGTGTCATTGGCCTGAGTGTGAAACCAGATTTGTTAAATGGTTTGCTTTTAAAAGAGAGTTTCTGTATCATCAATTCTGCTGGTTAGGCTGTCAATGATGAACTATAAGAAGGGCAAAAAGTTCGAGTTGGCTGTAACAAACAAGCTGATGTTCAGACTAACTGCCCCATTTTCTTCATCCACAGTCCCTTCCCCTTAGGTAACTACCACACTGTAGTCGTGTGTATTCTTACTGTATGTTTTGTTACACCCACACCTTGATAGATTTACAAATATACTAGTATCTGGCAAGTTTGTGTATTTACTTATTTGACCATCAGACCGAATCTCTCTTTCTCTCTCTTTTAAAAAATCTATGTGTAACAAGCGCAAGAAAGGAATTGAGGAGAGCACCAAATCCAGTGTTGAAGATATGGAATGCTCCAATACACAGACAGAAGAGGCCACAAAAACCCGTAAGTTGAACAATCTTGCCTATTAGCTTTTTCCATATATAAACACACATTTCATTTCCTTCCACTAAGTAAGGGGTTAGCTTATAGTCATAACATTTTGATTTTATAATAAAATATCCTACAAGAAGATCTTCTATTTGTATAGTATCATATCACAGTGTTCTTTGTACATACATTGTACTGTTTACTGTTCACAGTGATCACAAAGTTGGGGTGGGAAGCTACTCTGCTTTTGCATCGAGGGAGCCCAAGACACGGAGCCCTTAAATGGCAGAGCCGGAACTCTTAACCTCTCAGGCTACCTACCGTCTCTCCATTTCTGCACATTGATCCACGTTACGGGATCCGAGGGAAGGTCTGGATCAGACGAGTGCAGTCTGGGCTTATGTGGCTGCCAGTTCTACTGGCCTGAGCCACCCCAGTGCTCCTCACTGAGTCTGCCACCTCTTCTTTTCTCTCAACAAGTTGGGACTCAAGGAGTTAAAGCCTCAGTCATCACTTTTCCAAGCCCTTGAAGCAAAAAGCAGAGTATAAAGTCATTTCTGAGATGGTTCGTGAACTGGTGGTGAAGCCTTTTACGGTATGGAGCCGAGGCAGCATTGACATCAGCAGGGCCACATCTGCGAAGGGCGCAGCGGGGCTGGGGCTGGGCGTCCTTCCGCGTGCTCCACTTAGGAGATGGCCGGTGCGGGACGTGTAGGCACACCTTGGGTAGCTCAGAAAAGGGAAAACAGTTTCTAGGTTTCATGGGAGATAATTTCTTTGATGCAATGAAGAGATTCAGTGCTGGCTGCAGTACCATGTTTTTCTTTTTCCAGATTTCTTTTCTATCTTGCTGCCTTTTCATTTATTTATTCTTTTGTTGGTTCTGAAACATTTCCCACTTTGTAATAGAGAAGGCTCATTTTTGGTAAAAGTTTCATTAAAGCCCAAGTGCCCTGTTGAATCAGGCTAGGGAGGTATTTTACCTTTCCTTTGATCGTGTCGCCTGTGCATGTTTGTGGAAGACAAACATTTGACTTTCAAAGAGCATCTTCTGCACTCAGTTCTGTTAGCGTTGTCTTTCTTGTATAGTATGACTAGAACATCCTTAGGTTTACACGAATTCACCGCAGAGAATCCTGGGGGTATCTAGAGAGGGAGGATAGAACTTTACCCTGGAGGCTAAAGGTTTTGAAGAAGTTCCTTTTTCTCTCCTGCAGCCATTTTCCAAGCCCTACTGTTCTCCCCGCCTCCCTTCTTGTTCGTTTTGTTATTAGGAAGTGAGGAGTCCCGAGGAGCAGTGCATGGAAGCCTGTCTCAGCCAGAGGCTAGCAGCAGCAGCTATGACAGTGAGTGGGAGCAAAATTAAGGAGCATTTGTAAAGATAGAGCAATATTCTTACTTTAAAAAAATCCCTTATATTTTTAAAAGGCAGTTTTAGTTCAGCAAAGGGCCCACATTGTGGTAGTAAGGTTGAAACCCATTTAGACCAGAGTGAATTCACAGCTGTGCATGGAGAAGACTCATGCTTCTTTTGGCTGCCTGAAGGTCATTTGTTACCTGAACTTTGCTTCAGTGAGCATCAGAGTTATTTGTTTTGATACATCAATGATTTTAAAATTGGACTATAATTATGAAAAAATGTTTTTTATACCTAAAATTTTAATTTAAGGTCCTTACGTTGCTGGTTTTTATGGGGAAAAAATATATTAGTATTTTCGTTTTATTTATTAATAACAAAAGAAGAGTGTGGACCCCGTTGCATATTTAAGGAGAACAATCCAGATTTTTTTGTTTCAATTTAAACAAAAAGAAGATAGAGAATAATCGAATTCTCCCTTATTCATATAAACTCCAAATTGCTTTACTTAAATACTATTTCTCTTCTTATTATAATTTTTCCTTTCTCCTAAAGTTCAGGGCTAGTTAAAGTATTTTACTGTCTAAATATTCATAAATGAGAGAAATATTACCTGAGATGGTAAAATGTTATTGCTTCTGAAAAAAAAAAAAAAAGGCCAGTGTTCATGAAAATATATATTTGTATTCATCATTTTAAAGGAACTTGAAGGAGGAGGCGCATTATTATGTTTGAATTTTGTTTTAAGGAAATCTATAATACAATTCAGTGACTTCTGTGTTCTAGAGCTTTAAGATTTTGTGTCATAAATGTGTTTCAAGAATGGTTACCTCTAACAGCAGCAGCTTTAGAAATGTCAGTTTCTTCATTAACAATTTTATTTTCAAACACAATTTATGGTTTACAATATGGTAAGAGATTTTTCTCACTGTGTGATCTTTCAGAATGCTGTGCCTGGCAAAATGGGAGCAACTTTCCTTTAATATCTATTTAGACCATTTTAAAAATGCGTATAATTTTCTTGATACACCTAAACTCATTTTGACTAGTTGGGGGTCTATTGTGTAAGAACACATTCTGAAAGCTTTCAAAATGTGTATTGTGTAGGTTTTCTCAAAGAAAGAGAGGGGGTGACGGGGTGGTTTTCAAGAAGAACAGAGGCCTCTAATCCTTTTATTTTTATGCAAGGCATAATTTTTACCAATTGAGAAAATTTGGTTATTTGCTGCAAGTAATTTTTTCCCCCACAAAATGATAAGCCTTAAAAACCATGCATATTCTGGCATTTCAGAACTGTCCCACTACTTCAGAATTGTACTAAAAATTAGTTAATGTAGCCATGATATTTATGGCTAGCTGCTTTGTCCCTCCCGTTCATAAAATGGACAGTAATCCACAACCTTCTCTTGTTAATGTTGTATTTGAACAATCTTGAATTTTGGTCCATTCTTGAGAAATCTGAGGGAAGCAGAATTGACAGTTACCTCTCGAATATCTATGATCCGGTCAAAAAAGGGATCTTTTAAAGGGCACACTACAAAGACACTTCCCACTTGTTTTAAATTTTTGCATTAATAAAATTAAACAAGAGTATCCAGACTTATGCTTTTCCTTTTTCAAAAAGATTTTAAATTTTACACATTAGTCTTTTACAGTAGTAATATATTATGAAAATGGGTACATTTTCATAATATATGAGAAGAGGAAAAATATTTTTTCTGCCACAGTTAGAATTATTAGAGAAAATACTGAATTGATACGTGCAGCAAAGACTCCACATTGTAGAATCCTGATTATATAATAAATTCCAGGTAGTGTTTTTAGTTGCAGTGAAAAATTTTAAATCTAGATTGCAAGGTATAAGCAGCGGTGGTATTTAAGAGTAAAATGACAAATTAGGATGTTAGTGAGAATAATACTCCTTGAACATGGTGATAGCTATTGTTAAGTGCCCTTTGTAATGTGACGATAGATTCCAAATTTTATTGAAATGAAGATGTACTATAGTACTGATTACTGACCTGGATTTTGTGATACCCTCTTACACCCCAACTTAGCCCATCACAACATTCTTAGATTTCTGTGCAAAATTGATTTCAAAATTCTTGAAATAAAAAATTAGAAATCTACCTTGGGATATATTTTTATCTATCACAAAAATTGAAGAAAAAGCTCAAAAGTTTAAACCATAGCATAGGTATGCATATCAATGGCAGGAAAAAAATATCCATGTAAATTTGAAGTTTGCTTTAATTGAAGTATATGGCAATTAAATAAAAACTGGAACTTGGAAAAATAAAAAAACACTAATTTTTAAACTGATCTTCCACAAAGTAACTAACTAAGCCTGTAAACAGGAAACCTTTAGAATTTATTATTAGATGTACGGTAAGTATTTTGTCCTAGATTCAAAGAATGTTTTGTACGTTTCAGGAGAGAAGTATTGATCTGTTGTTTAGTGCATTCATTGATTAACTATGGGTGACCATGCTGCCCCTCACCGTGGTACTGTTGCTCTTTTCCTGACCAAGGGAGTCATGAGGCGGTGGGAAGGCACACTTTGTTTGCCAGCGCTAGGCAGCCGTGATCAGGCTTACATATACTCTTCCGACTGCTGTGCTTGCCTTGAGGTAGAGTGGGGGTGCTGGGTGGGAACAGAGTCTCCTTGGTGAGGTGGAATTCCCATTCAGAACTCTGCCCCCAGTAAAGAATCACTGATTTATTCCAACTCAGGAGTAGTTGGATAGAAACTGTCATAAGGTACTTAGACCAGGATCAGGTGTGATGTTTCTTTAGAAGGCTACTCAGTTGGGGTCTCTTTAACTCCTAGTGGAAAAGACTTCATGTCTTGGAATGGCCCAGTGCTCTCCTGCCTAAAGAGTATAGGTAACAGGCTTTAAAAAGCAACACATTTTATTCCTTGCTTCTCAGAAATATGCATTACTTCATCGCTTCCCTCCCAGAAATGAATGCCTGTCTTGTTGCTATAGGTTACATTAGGACATACTGTTTTAAATTGCAAATAAAAATTTTGGGGAGAAATATTTCAGTGCCCTTGTAAATTGGATGTGTTTTTTACCTTTGGGAGAGTTCTGTTGTGACTTAAGACTGAAAGGTAGATGTTAGCATATTTTTTGACATATTAAAAAATTGACACAATTTCCAAAGATTTTCAGGCTATTAACCCTTACCTTTGTGTGTGAATTTTATCTCCACCAGTCATCATAGTCAATTAGATTTTTAAATACGAATAAGTATCTATGGAAATGCTTGTATTTCTCTTCTTTAGCTTTTATAAGTTAATGATTAGAATTTCTTTGTTTTTTCTCTTCAAGGTTCAAAAACCAGAAAGAGAGTCCAGAAGTAAATCAGATGCTGTAAATCGACTTTCTTCCTGTCATTTGACTTATTCCTCTTTTTCTATTTTAAATGTTATATTTTCATGTGAGTCTTTGAGGATGGGGCTGACCATGAAATAACTGTCTTTGAAAAATATAAACTTTTTTTATTAAGTACATACTGTGTACAATTTATTAAAGGCTAGTTTATAAGATTGAAAATCTTTAGGTCATTCTCTTTAAGCTTATCCTGAGCTGTATGTGTTAGAGGCTCTGCAATAGCTACAAGAAAAACCGCCATGGTGTTACTTTCTAATCAC